GAGAAAAAAAAGAGAGAACATAAAGAAAAAGGAAAGCAAGGATAGAAAAAAGAGAGATGAAACAACATAAAGGATAAAGGAAGTAAGGACAATCTTGGTAAGAAAGGCCAAGAAAAACGAGAAAGAGAAGATGAGAGGAGAGGATGAGATTTTTATTTTTAAATGAATGAGATAAGGTGGGACATGTGACGGACAATGATTGATTATGGAGATTAAATTTTTATCAACATGGATTGCATCTTATGGTGAATGAGTTAGGATCTTATGTTAAAAATGGAAGGCTAAAGAGAGGAAACGGATGACGAGAGAGAATAAATGATAGATAGACGACCGAGAGGATTGGAAGGCCGAGTCCACGAGTATCATTGAGTGTGTGTGAACGAGTAATGAAATAGGAAAACCACCACCTTAATTTAGTTTTTATCAACATGGATTGCATCTTGTGGTGAATGGGTTAGGATCTTATGTTAAAAATGGAAGGCTAAAGAGAGGAAACGAACGACGGAGAGAATAAATGATAGATAGACGACCGAGAGGATTGGAAGGTCGAGTCCACGGTATCATTGAGTGTGTGTGAACTGTAATGAAACAGGAAAACCACCACCCTAATTTAGTTTTTATCAACATGGATTGCATCTTGTGGTGAATGGGTTAGGATCTTATGTTAAAAATGGAAGGCTAAAGAGAAGAAACGAACGATAGAGAGAATAAATGATAGATAGACAACTAAGAGGATTGGAAGGCTGAGTCCACGAGTATCATTGAGTGTGTGTGAATAGTAATGAAACAGGAAAACCACCACCTAATTTAGTTTCTTTAGTAATACTAATAATTTTTCCCCCTCTTTTCTCTCTTGAATATCTCTTCGTTCTTCTTCTTCTTTTTAATATCTCATTTTCTTAATTTTTTTTTATTTAATTCGTCTAACACACTTTTTTTTTTTGATTTGTGCTTGGTCCGTACAATCGGTGCAATGATTTTATGTGTAGACCAAGCTAAAAAGCTGTAAAATTTAAATGGAGAGAGATAGAGAGGAATGGAGGGAGAGAGAGAGTGAGAGAAAGGCTGAGAAGCAAGAGAGGATGAGAAAAAGAAAGAGATAGAGAGAGTGGGAGGGAGGGAAAATTTTTTAGATAGAAACGTGCACTTATTTTTTGGATTTCTAAATTTGTAGATAAATCTTATAAATTTTGAGGATCAAAATTGGATTATGATAATAGTAACATGGATGTGTTTTAAGCATAAAGTAAATATATATCATATTTAATTTATTTAAAGTTTTAATTGAAGGGAAAAAACTCCAAAAATTTACGGACGTCAAATTAAATAATTAAATAATAAAAATAAAAATGAAAAAAAAAACCTAAGGAAAACGAGTCAAAAGAACAAAAGAAAATAAAAAAGAAAAAGAAAAAAAGTGAGGTGAGCTTAGATCGCACATTAGGCCCGCACTTATAGGCTATCATACTTGGGCGAGCACTTAGAGGTCCACACACTTGGGCCAAGTGAACCAGGCCCAATCTCAATAGATATTAAAAACACAAACCAAAAAAAGCAAAAGACACACAATGTATCGTCAAATGTTTTCTTTTAAAGAAAAGTCGCAAGCTGCCTTTTTTCCTCGAAAATGGATTTGTTATCGTTTTTAGATATAAATACCTCTTCATCATCCTAAGGACTTTTATAAACTCATTTTTAACATCAAAATCTTTTTTTATTATTCCCTTTGAAACAACAAATCACCTAATTAATTCTCGATTCTTACCTCTAATTGGAAAATCCTTTCTAACTTTTTGATCCATTTGTTAGCTACTAAATATGCACAATTAACTTAGAATGTTTGGATTATAAGATACAAGTTGAGATGAATTCGTTCGTGGCTGAAAACCGATGCACAATTAACTTTTTTTTGTTATGGTTTAGAATAGAAAATCCCCTTCAACATCTAGTGGGAATAAATGGATCAAATTTCTAATCTTTCCTTTCCTTGTTGTTATTAAACAATACAATCCCCTTCTATGTATTGTGTTGTGTCCCACCAACTTGCAAACAAAACTTCTTTATCAAAGCTTTTTGGAAGACCTTCCTTAATTTTGAATTTGAGCTTTTGGAGTTAGTCCATTTCCAATATTAATTGCCTAATTGTTGCATAATACTGTCCAAATTTCTTGGCAATTTGCATGCTTTAAGTATTATAATCCACAAACGAAACAAAATTATTGCCCTTTCATTATCCTACAAACAAAAATGTGAAGATAAGCTAAATATATATCTCTATCGTGAAGAATTTTACCAAGTTCTTGTTCGTGAAACCATCACAAGGTTCATATTTTGGTTGCATGAAAGCGATCGGTTGGTTCCAATTGAAATGGAGTTTTCACCTAAGCTGGGAAGAATCATGTGTCCAGTGTAAAAATCATGCTAAGATTAGAATTTTTTTTTCCTTTTAGAATTAGTTCAATAGAGATAGACCTCTTCTATCATCAAATTCTATGTACTCTTCAATTTCAAAAGAATCCTAATATCGTAAAGTTTCATCCTTTCTTTTCCTTTTCCTTTTTTACTCTTATTTTTTTAAATTCGATAAATTAATTTTTTGGCCGGATCAATCCTATAGATATATACAAAACTGCATTGCCTATATTTAAGGGGTAATATTCGGACAAAATTAATATATACGTCCCAAAATTTGGAATTGTTTACAACTAATACATAGCTATGAATACCGAAGTTGAAATGTTCTGCTCATCCACGCAACTCCAGCGATCTTTTAGAGCTATCTCCCTCATTCCTGTCCAAGGAAAAAATGAAGTTTTCCATAGATTTATTGACATTTTTAACTAGTACTTGAGCCTTTTGTCTTTTGTGATATTGTGTCGTGTATTTCACATATATACAGGACATGCTGCTACAAAAAGAAACCATTTTACATTAAAAAAAAGTCCAATCCTTATATAATAAAATCATTGTCCAATCTGTTATTATAATTAATTATATTTCTATATTTTCAATGAGTTTTTTATCTGATTTTTTAGTCAATTTTTCAGCCAAAACGTTATAAAATATCATATGACTTGTATATGATTTTTTTTTTTTACAAAAAATACATTTAAAAAAACATGTCCTGGCATTTTCGGGGAAAAAAAAATAATTATGAACAAGTCATATGATTTTTTTAATAATTTATCTGAAAAAATTTATTAGAATGATATATTGAATACTCACTTGAAATATTGAAAAATAATTAACTTGATGAAGGATATAAAAACTGATTCTATTATAGCCCGATTAGGCCATTACCCACTTCCCAGAATAATAATAATAATAACTTTGTGTTCCTCTTGATTGGATGTTCTAGAATGAAAATGATACAAAAAAATTCTAATCCGAGGAGAGCATCGTTCCCTCCTGTCCAATGTTGCAGGATCATGACCCAGACAGTGGCATCGACAGACTCAGTGCGACAGTGGCATGTATATCTCTATATGTTTGTATATTAATGTTAATTTCTTGTTAGCTACTATGATATTGTTGAATTTCAGAATATGCTATTAAGCCGGAAATTATCGAAAAATGAGTCTTGTAAGTTTGAATGATCCATGCATTAAAATCAAAATTACATATACCTATTTTATTTGTATATGTTGTGTTTTCATAGTCCTGTACACGAACTCCATGCCATCTGGATGTATGCTTACAATAATCTGTGTTGTTTTTTCTGGATGTTCTCATATAAGTCGGCAAATCATTCCATATTGAACTTATTTCAGCATGTATACTGGTCCAAAAACGAAACTGCTTCTCTCTCTCTCTCTCTCTCTCTCTCTATATATATATATAGATGTAGGTGTAGACGCATGTAAGTATCTTTTCAACTATATACCAGTATAAGCTTCAAATCAAAGCGAATGATATCAAAACTATACGTTATGTTAGGGAGATAGAGAGCAGTTAGGCGCATACATGAATCAACTTGAGAGTCTAAACCATTAGGTTGTGGATACATGTTTATACATAAATATTTCAAACTTGTTTATTTTTAACGATTGTGGAATTTTTCTTACGATTGAAGCATATATGAGTACAAGATCAGACTAATTAAACAGAAGGTCTAACCTATATATATATATATCCAGTGCAAAGAAGTGGATAAGTAGATATGTAAAATTTATTTTCTACAGAAGCTTTTTAATGGGCAAGAAAACGAGTGTTAACTTTTAGAGGTTTCAGGTTTAATCTAATTTGTAAGATCATGCTCAAGAAGACAAGCACTTCAGTCTGAATTTACACTACAATTAATGGATCATATAAATCTTTGTTATAATTCAATTATTGCTGGGTATGTTTGCTTCCTGATTAAGGAACCGTTAATATTTACCTTCATTAAACGAATTAAGTCTAATTTGATTAGTTTCTTTGTGCTGCGCATGCCTTGTTTACCCCTTAAGCATACCCAGTTTTAGTCCTTGCTTTCGCTTATAAAATCCCCTATTGATAATGGATATGACTTAGTAAACTTATCCCAAACTATATATGGATAGCTGCAAGGTAAAAGATACTCCATAAACTTGAAGAGAACAGGAGCTTGCGGAAATGATGTTTTACCCCTTTCAGATTTTTCAACTGTTGGAATTATGAAAAATAAAAAGTAGCCACCTTAGCTGGAGTGTGCCCAAGACTTTCCAAGGAAAGAAATCCAAAAATCTTGGGAGACAGATAATGGGAAGTAGTCTCATTGCTCTATGCATTTTGCTTCTATCTATGCCACAGATTAGGAAGACATCAAATTTGTCTTAACTTTCTTGGTTTCATATGAAGTATATATGCATTAACCTAGTAATTCACGAACAAGAAAAGAGCAGCCGCTCTCCTCTAGCTATATTATGCTTTTTCTTTGTGAAGGTTCTTCCAGAGCCTCACTGATATATCTTTAGAGAAAGACCAGAAGTGTGTGCTCCCGTCTGTGTGTGTGCGTGTGTGTGTGAGTGGGAGAGAGAGAGATGGCTCATAGTTTCTTGTCAAAGGAGTTCAATGATGAAACTGCAAGTGAAAGGAGTGGCCTTGATCTCAGCCTTTCAGCTATGGCTTGCTATCGGCACCCTTATTTGCCCATATGTGAGAGCAATGTTGTTTCCTGGATCCTTCCTTCTTCAGAAGAAGCCAGAGAAGCTAAGAGGATCAAACGATCCTCAAGTCTGGTTGAATCCGTAAGAAGTAATAGTAGCAACCTTTATAGTGGTGGAAACAGCATTTGCCGCACCAGTAGCACTAATAGCTTCAATAGCATTCCTAAGCTTCATTTCAGAGATCATATATGGACTTATACGCAAAGATATCTTGCAGCTGAGGCTATCGAAGAGGCAGCAGCAGCCATGATCAATGCTGAGGAAGGTGGAAATGAAGAAGAAGGGAATGCTGATGGAATGAGACTTGTTCAGCTTCTAATTGCTTGTGCTGAGGCTGTGGCTTGTCGTGACAAGTCACATGCCTCAGCCTTATTATCTGAGCTCCGATCGAATGCTTTGGTCTTTGGCTCTTCTTTCCAACGCGTGGCATCTTGCTTCGTCCAAGGCCTCACCGACAGGCTCTCTCTGGTTCAACCACTAGGGGCTGTTGGTCTTGTTGCACCCACGATGAACATAATGGACGTTGCCTCAGATAAGAAGGAAGAAGCTTTACGCCTTGTTTATGAAATTTGCCCACATATTCGGTTCGGTCACTTTGTTGCCAATAATGCCATTTTGGAAGCCTTTGAGGGAGAGAGTTTTGTTCATGTGGTGGACCTAGGAATGACACTTGGATTATCACAAGGTCACCAATGGCGCCGGCTTATCCAAAGCCTCGCCGAACGTGCTGGAAAAGCACCCAGCCGTCTTCGAATTACTGGTGTTGGACTCTGTGTTGATAGATTCGGAATCATCGGTGATGGACTGGAGGAATATGCAAAAGACATGGGAATCAATTTGGAGTTCTCAGTGGTGGAAAGCAACTTGGAAAACTTAAGGCCTGAAAACATCAAAACCAACGAAGGTGAAGTCCTAGTCGTCAACAGCATTCTTCAACTCCATTGCGTGGTTAAAGAAAGTAGGGGAGCTCTGAATTCAGTCTTGCGGATTATTCATGAGCTCTCACCAAAGGTTCTTGTTCTAGTTGAACAAGATTCAAGCCACAATGGTCCATTCTTTCTGGGAAGATTCATGGAAGCACTGCATTACTATTCCGCAATTTTTGACTCCTTGGATGCTATGCTGCCCAAGTATGACACCAGACGTGCCAAGATGGAGCAGTTTTATTTCGCAGAAGAGATAAAGAACATTGTGAGCTGTGAGGGGCCAGCAAGGGTAGAGCGGCATGAGAGGGTGGATCAGTGGCGTAGGAGGATGAGCCGTGCAGGATTTCAGGCTGCCCCCACTAAGATGATGGCTCAGGCAAAGCAATGGCTGGTGAAGAATAAGGTTTGTGATGGTTACACGGTTGTTGAAGAAAAGGGGTGCTTGGTTCTTGGCTGGAAATCAAAACCCATAATTGCAGCTTCTTGCTGGAAATGCTAAATAAACAGCAGCCAATAAATTTGCAGTTGTTGAATAAATTGGTCCAGGTTTGATGAGGCCATCGGTTGCCGTTTTATGTATTAATTACATAGTATGGTTGATCTCCTACTACAATGTCCATGTACTAATGTCTTAGCATCAGTAAAGTGCAAGCACAGACCTTGTTCTGAAAATAAGTGCTGATGGTTTTGAGTTTGAATTTGGAACTGTTCCGGTGACTGAACAGATGAAATAAAGAAATTGTATTGCTGGTTGCTGTAGCTGTATTTAAATGTACATATCAACATTCCTTGATTCTTTAATGATTGAGTTAAACTGACTGTAAATCTAAGGCTCCTAAGCAATTGCAACGTCTCGTCAGAATGGATTGTTAATTAGTGAAGTGCAGATATCTTGCTTAATGTTTGGGAACAAAGCAATCATATTTTGTTCAATTTTCTATTTCGTTTTTTAAGGGATATTTCTAACTTTGGATGAAAACGACGAAAGCCAATTGCACTATAGTAAGGAAAATCTTTTCTACAGACCTTGCTGGACTTTAGTCCTTGTTGAATTTTTTTATTTTTTTATTTTTTAAAGTAATGAAAGAAGGCAAGAACGAAAAGAAATAGAATCTGCAGTAAAACTTATCATCTTCCATTGCATGATTAACTTCTTAAATACGTAAAAAAAAAAAAAACGTAATAAAATTTCAAAAATAAAAGCAAGCATGTATAGACATGTTTGCAGGACTAACAAACATTCTAAACCACTGTCATTAATCGTTATTAACATTATTAACAGAAATTCAAACCACAACTCCTAAAAACTTGGTCAAAGATAACATGTGGTGCTGATGCAGTCTCGAATTCTTCTCTAGAGCCCATGATTTGTTGTTCGAGCCCTCAAAACGTGCTATCCAGGCCACCTCACGCTTGATCCTAAGTCTGAAACCTCAATTATACGTATGCAACAACCTACGTTGGCCTAGTTAGCATTTTACAGCCATATCAACAACTCTACAAATCTTCAAAAAATCTGCAGTTGTTGATGCACACCTTCAACACTCCTCTTTGATCAATTGGTGCAGATTCTGAGCTTCTCTCTTAGAAACTCAAACCTGCTTCTTGGAAGAGTCTTTGTGAAGATATTTGGGAGATGATCATTAGTTTTGCAGTACTTCAAACATATAGCACCATCTTTCTATATTTCTCTGAAGAAAAATAATTTAATATTATAATGCTTTGTCTTCCCATGTAAGACAGTATTCTTGGAGATAGTTATGGTTGTCTACTTGTCCATCATCACTTCTGTACTTGTCACCTGCTTCAAGTGTAAATCAATCAACATTTTTCTTAGCTGTAAAGCCTGATTAACAACTGTTGTAGCTGCAATAAATTCAGCTTCAGTTGTTGACTGTGCAACAACCTCCTGCTTCTTAGAGCATCGTGAAAATACTCCTGATCCAAGGCTAAAACAATAACCTGAGGCGTTTTTCTTGTCATCTAGAGACCTTGCCAAGTCATTTTCAGAGTAACCTTGCAGCATGAAATTTTGACATGCACTGAATTTGACACCATAGTTCAAGGTCTCCTTAACATTTCTAACAACTCTTTTTGCTGTCTTGAGGTGAACTGCACTAGCACAGTTCATAAACCTTGACAACACATTCACAGCATGCAAAATATCTAGTCTTGTTGCTGTGAGATACTTCAGACAACTAATCAAGCTCCTTTAGAGTGCTTCATCCACTCTTTCAGCTCCATCATCCTTCCTTAACTTCTCTTTTTAACATATTGGAGTGCTCATGCTCTTACAATCCTCCATGCTAATTTTTTTTTGTAACCTCATTTGTGTACTTCTTTTAACCAATGATTTTTTTTCCCTCCATCTCAAAGAAGTCATTTCTTCCAAATCAGTCATATCAAAAGTCTAGATCATCTATATATAAGGAAATCACTATAAAATCTTATTGATCACCTTTGACATACAAGGTTGATTCACTAACACTTTTGATAAAGCCTAACTTCAACATATGCTTATCAATTCTGCTTTACCATGTCCTCTTTGCCCATTTGAGACCATACAAGGTCTTTTTTAGCAAATAAACATTATTCTCCTGCCTTTTTACTTCAAAGTCTTCGGGTTGCTCAACATAGATTTTCTCCTCCAAATTTCCATTAAAAAAAAATTATTATTATGATGAGTTTCTCTTACAATACAACTCTCCATTTGGATTTTTTTTTTTTTTTGCTTTCACTTTCTAGTACTCTACAAGCTCAATAACTACTAATTGCATCTTTGATAAATATTAGATAGTAATCCGGTGTCTTTTATAAGAGGTTCATCCACATGCTCATCCTAATCTTGTAAGAAAATCATGAATTTGAATTTTTTTTCTTCGTCATCTCAGCTCCACTCGCTCATGTTCTATAAAATGCACATATATGCTTAACATGATTTTCCTTGTGTGAGGTTGAAAAACTCTATAAACTTTTGAGATTGTATTGTATCCGATATCGATGCTAGGCTCAACCTTTTTGTCAAGTTTGTCTCTCTTGATCTATGCTAGGTAAGTGAAACACAAACATTCAAACAATTTAAGATTTTTTAATAAAGGATTAAATTTATACTAGGCCTCAAAATGAATCTTCTCATTTACTATTTTGGTAGAAAGTCTATTTGGCAAGAACACTACAATTTTTTGCAACCTTTGCCTAATACTTCTTAAGTAATCTTTTCTCATGAAGCATGCATCTAACTATTTCTATGATTGTCCTAATTTTTTTTTTTTTTCATTCACTCTATTCTTTTGTGGAGTTTATGGAGCTATAAGTTGATGCTTATTGATAGGGGCTTGCAGTACTAGCAGAGTGGCCACCTAGCAATCGAGAAAACTAAAAAACCCTAAACAAAACTGTTTTATAAAAATATTTGGGTAAAAGGTTAGTTACGAGTGGGAAAGATAAAAATCATAATTATCCCGTCCCATATGAGGTAGACTATGCTCGTATGTATGTGAAAATTAAAATCTAATTCTAGTATTTTATGAAGTTGCCTATTTAAGTGAATTTATTTTTTTAGGATAAATTGTTCTAGTAATTTAGGATTTAGATTGGTTAAAGGCCTATACTCATACTCTAAGGGAAAAAAGGGAGGAGAAATTGAAATTTTAGCTAGTCCTTAACCAACCGCAAACCTATATCGGTAAATAGGCGAGCCTCTAAGGATTATAAGCCTATATTGACCTAATTAGGAGGCCATCGACAACTTGCTCTATAAAAATAGGAAGTTAGAAACGACTTCGGTTCACATAATTAGAGAGATAAAGGAGGTCACCTGGTGACTTTAGACAAGTGGAAAGCCACCAACAACTTCAATTCACATAAAATAAAAAATCATTCAAATAAAATAAAATAAAAAATTCCTTTAACTATAGTCCATATCATAAGTCATTCAAATAAAAAAATGGCAAGCCTCTTTCGATTGCAGACTTATATCGAAATCATTCACATAAAATAATAATGACAAGTCTTTTACGACTATAGCTCATATCATAAATAATTCATAAAAATAAAAATGGCTTGTTCCTTGTGACTACAGATCCATATCGAAATTATTCACATAAAATAAAAATAGCATGTCTCTTGCAACTTTAGCTTATATAAAAAATAATTAAAATATTTGAAAGCTACTAATAGCTTCGTCCATATGAGTAAGAAGCCATCGATAACTTTGGTTCAATGAACAACAAATCATTCACGTCATGCTTTGGACATGAACATCACATAATTAAGACATCACAACCAACATGTTGGATCAATCATATAAGCTAAAACAACTACAAAATCATTTTTAAGTGCGAATACCGAGACAACAACTACAAAATCATTTTTAAGTGCGAATACCGAGACCAACACTCATCTCGGACAAACCTTTAAAATTAAATCATGCCTCATCCTCCCAACTTCATCGTAGAGCATTAATCAATCAGCCTTATCACTCCTCAAAATACTTGAAGTCTTTGACCTTTTTGGGTTCGATACACAACGATGTATCTAAATCACACTTTAATATTCAACAATAGTATCACAATTTATTCCAAAATAATCTATGAATTATGTAAATTAAAATTTTTCAATTTTATAGACCTACCTTCGAGCCAAATAGCTATGATGAAACTATTATCATAGTGTGAAATGACCGAAACACTTTTTGGGGTCGGTTCCTACTTCTTCAACCTCAATGAAGATTGATTTAGTTTCGATCGGTTAGGAAGAAAAAATAGTTGCTCGTTAAAACACTATAAAGGTCATGAAATGTTTAAACACCTCTAGTCTATTGTGAAATAACCAAAATATCTTTGGTAGCAAATTTGAAAAATGAGCGAGTGTTGGCGCGTGTGGGACACGTGCTTGCGCATTTATAAAACTAACCTTGAAACACATGAGTTATTATCAACATCTCCAACCACTATCCGGCTTCTTTTTGGCACATGGTTGTTCGAGGAAGGGATGATTGACCTTCCTCAACATCTAGGTGAAGGCTATGTCGTGCACAACTGATTAAAAGAAGAATCGACAGTTGTCAATGATTGTCACTCTTTCCTCCTTCCCTAATAGTGATTTCGGTGATAATGAGGTAAAATGAAGGTTTGAATCAATTGACTAGACTCTAAGGAGTAGTTCTCTAGTGGTTTGGAGGTCGGATTTGGCTTGTATTTGAGGATTAAAATGGGTTTGTAAAACAAGTTGGGAAATGAGTTCATCTTTGGTTCGACTAATTCTAGCAATATTTCATTAGGATTTTTAGTGGGATTGGCTTTTAGGAGGATGAAGGGTGTTTCTATGGAGTCGGCAACATCATTTTGGCTAGAAAATGGGAGATTTGTTTGGGTTCGGAAACGAGTTGGGTGGCTTCCCTCCTCTCTTGTTTTTTGACCACCTTTGCCATTTTTTAGCATGAAAACCAATTGGGAAGGGTTAATCCGAGGTTGAGCTTCAAGTTTGAGGTAGTTTTGG